GTGTATGATGTTGGAGCACACAGGAGGAAGTGCTTTATCTTCTAGTGAAAAATAAAAACTTTAAAGATGTCAGATTTGAAAAATTGGTTTAATCTACAGCATCTCTGTGTACCTTGCTGCAGTCTCAACTTAGATTATACAGCTTTGGGGTTACTTTGGAGGATTCTTCAGGAAAGGAAGATACCTCCCTCCCTATTCTGATCTTTTGGAAGAGCCATGCAAAATGTTATACATTGCTGCTATAAATACCTCAGCAGTGAACCATCCCTCTGCAGTTCTCAAGGACTGGCTTTGTGCAGGGAATGCCCATAGGGTTAATCTTGTTCTTGCCTCCCATCCCAACAAAATGATCCATCCAGGTAATTACTGCAAACGTGGCACTCACATGGGTCAGTTTGCAGGACTGAGACCAAAAAGCATAAATGGAAATGAAACCAACCAAAGCAAAAAGAAAATAGCCCTTAGTACATGTTTAGTTACAAAAACCAGAGTGGTAAGTAGGAAAAGGATGCAGATCTCCCAGTTACATTATGGGCTGATCAATAAACACTTGAAAAAAAGCCAGATGCTGGGCAGTCACCATTTCATTCAAGCACAATTAAACCCCCTGTATTCCATCATAGTTTGTCCAAAATCACATACAGTTAAATAAACAACTGAAAGCGTGAATGAGATTAATATACAGTACTTTCACACAGCCAAAGCTATTTTATTTTACAAGACGAGGCTTTTGCGTTCATCTTTTTTTCTGAAAGCCCAGTAAAAACAGCGTAAACTACTTAAGCAAAATTTAAGAGACAACTTACAAAGTAAAATTTGCATAGCACTGTAAATCTGCGTGTTTGTTTGGGCACAGTTCTCTGTAAAAACTACAGTAGGTGACAGGGTTGGGTTTTCTTAATAGCTTGTTTTTCACCAGATTCAGACAGACTTCTTCTGAACATCATAAAATCAAGTGTAGGAAACAACTGTAAAAATGTACAAAAATATATACACATGCACAGTAAATGCATACCCTGTATACAGTTTTATTACTCGTTAGATTTGGCTAATAATGATCATCTGGTGACTTACACTTCCCTCCAGGAATGACAGGTTTGCAACACATCAATCAGCTCCAGAGGGTGATTTTCCTCGGAGAGAAGGTTTGGATTAAAGCTACAGTACTTGCTGGTGATCTGAGGAGTGAGCGAGGCACCAGCGGCAGCGGCCGCCGGGCGTTCAGGCGAGTTCAGCATTCAGATGTCACAAGGGACAGCTCAGACACAGCTGAAGCAAAGGGACACAAAGGGACACAGCTTGGCTCTCTGCACAGATGCACATGCACGGAATAAAGGAGGTACACAGAACCTGCTCATGCCTTGGGGTGTAAAATTTAATTCCTGATTAGGCTCTGCTACCCACTCTTCCTTCCTTCGCAAATTGTATTGTAGTAATTTGTAACTCAGCATGTTTTCCTTAAGAATGCACGCTGGCCAAAATGAAAAAAGTTGTGTAAGACTGAAAATTGGTAGTGGTAGCCCCCACATTAAGGAATACTTCTAATTTAAAATTTAAAAGTACTATTATATTCTGATTGCTGCTGAAGTGTCTAATTTTAAAATTCACTTTTCTCCTAAAAAGATAAAATGCTGCTTCTGCTAGTGGTTTATAGAAATAGACTATCTGCACTCAAGTGCTCTCAACAGTGAAAGTGCACAAATAATCTTTCTTTAGTTTCAAAAATTGAACAGTGGCTGGTAACTACAGGTATAACATTTTAAGAAACACAGGCAGCTTTCTAAAAGCCTAGAGAGGCCAAGGATCAGAGAAACACATTTGTCTTAGATGCCAATCCCATGTCTTCCCAATTCTCAAGTATGAAATATTTTCATGACTTTTTCTGGTGGCTAACACACGTGGAACTGACTTCCAGAATGTTCTCACTCCAAACCACAGCAGGTAAATAACACACAACCAACAGCCTGCAAGCATCTTCTGCAGACACAATCAGATAAACCAGCCTTAAACAGGGCAGAATGAGAGTCCCCATCTGAAACAAGCCCTCAGGAGGAATTCTGACCCAAATCACATGAACATGGCAAGGGTTATTCTGCAAGTTGTTTCACAGAGGTCTCACATCCACATCAGTCAGAGCCTGCCTCCCACACAGTTGTCTCTGCTTTGCAAAGCTCCTGGTGATGGCTCAGTTTTCTCAGAACAAGAATTTGGCCGGACCTATCAGTGTTCCTGCTCCTCCCAGCCATGTTCCTTCTCCCTCACAGCTCCCAGCAGGGCTTTCACCTGCTTCAAATCCCAGCTTCACTCAGCACCAGCAGCCCTGGAGCCGCCTGTTATGATTAGAAGGTTCAGGAATACAGGAACAAGTGGCTGTGACACACTGGGTGGGAGTACAAATTCAGCATTCCCATCACAGGGACAAGTTTCTTTGTGCAGGCACACAGCAGCACTTGCAGCAATCATCTGCTGGGAATCAGAACCTTAACACCAGGGGACAGAAGCACATGGCATCCAGGAGATGCTGTGAGCTATCCTGCTGTATCCCATCTTCAAAGGAGATCAAGGAATGGATTCTTCACTTTGATCTGTGTTGGCCTCCAGCATCTGCATGAAACACTTGGGTGAAGTCTGCCCAAGTCTGGCTTTAGATTCTTAGCAAATACTTCTCCAAGATGCCAAAATACATCAGATTGTGTCTTCAATCTGAAACACTCTGTGTAGCATCAAGTCAGCATTATTCAAAGACTCCAACCCCACATTTCTTCAAAAGGTACATGATGCAAAACCAGGTTTTGGGGTAGTCCCAAGACAGAAACAGTACTTTCAGCAAATATCCCATGGACTCCCTTGCTTTCTCATTATTCCAACTCTTAGTAAAAACCATGTCCCAACTCCCTTTCACCAGAGGGACCTGTTGCCAGGTAGGGAGGGCCTGTGTGAGGGAGGCCTCTTCTCATCCCTGCTAAAAGTTTTGCTTTGAAACAGCAAAGTTGCACTATCATATAACACAAACACCACCCTGTCACTTCAGCCCTAGAGCTGTCAACCAGTGCCAAAATTCAGGAAGAGAAAACCCCAGCCATGTGAGACAGCTGCTGTAACACTGGTTGAACTGGAGAGCTCCGAGTTCCTGCTAAGAGGTTGTAACCAAACCATCAGCAGAAGATACAGGTGAGCAAATATACAGACATCAGTGATGGAGACAAGAGGTACCACGTGGAAGTGAGCAGTCACACCCACTTTTCCTGTGAATACCAGGCAATTAGGACACAGGCAGCAGTCAGATTCATTGGTCAGCAATTAAATGTAGAGCCCTTCAAGATAAGTTAAAGCAGAACAAAGGAACATTGCCCATGCTCTTTGTGCCAGGGACAGATATTTTGCTCAGTGGTGCAAAGTCAATTGCAAGAGCACATTCAGCCCACAATGAGCAAGAGAGAACTGTAATCCTACCGAGCCAAGGCCTCTGGATACCACATCCTTCTTCAGCATCAGCTCTTTGTGCCTTCCTAACTCAGAGATGCCACGTGGCCAGCAGTGCCCAAGCTCTCTCACCAGGTTCTCAGCTGTAGGTCAACCTGATGCTCCTTTGGAACAGCAAATCCCACTTAGAGAGCAGCACCATTGCTGTTGGTGACAATGACAAGTGCTGCCAAGGCCAAGAGCACACATCTATCGTCTGTCCATGTTAGTCTGAGAACCATTCCTCTTCGGAGTCAGTGCTGAACTCCATGGCAGTCAGCTTGCAAGTCCATACTGGCAAACTCTATTTACTCCAAACAAATAAGCAATAAATGAAAATTCTGAAAGGTGGAGAGAAAAAACACTCCCATAGCTGTAAGTTTATTAAACCTAGCATGGTTGAAAAGCAAAAGACGAAAAACATGATATATTTTTGTTTATTATTGCTCTTAAAGGGCTTGGTAGTCAAATATACAAGCTATGCTCTATTAAACCAGAAGAAAATAAGATATAAAATCTATGCTCACTTTTCCAATCCAATCCACCTGCTAATCTTCATTAGTGACATTAACTTCAGCTAATTCCAGTCATTTTAATTGATACATACTCTGTGTATGTGTGCGCGCGCGAGTATAAAAACCCCTATTTGAGAGATAAAATTCAAAATGAAGAGATTCATGTTGGTTTTGTACTGTTTTGTGCACTGCTGTAGTTTCAGTTTTTCAAGTGTTACTGATATGTCTGTTTAGAAGAGCAAAATTTAAGTATGATGATGTATTTATTATATTTTCAAAAAGAAAGCATGACCAATAAGTTATGATAAGAAAATATGAAATGTTGATTATTCTCCCCTTGATGTACATGCACTAATCCCATGATCCTGAATAGGGAGTTACATGCACTAAGAGGAGAAAAGGATCCTGTAAAGAGAAAGGCTATTAATTCCTTTCTCCTCTAAGCAGCTCCCCTCTTCTCAGCATTAAGAAGGGATTTATTTTGTGAGATTCTCATCATGCCCATTAATATACTGCTCAAAATGTAAGTATAAAACATAGTCAATGGTCAGCCTGCTTAGCAAGCCTCTTCTGCTAAGCCAGTACAATTTATATATACTCAATATCATCTTCAGGAAGCAAGTATACAGCATTTGTAACATCTTTCTAGGAAGCAAGAACTATACCCATTACTGAATTACTTAAGAAAAAAAAAAAAAAGGAAAAAAAAAAAAGAACCCCCCCACTGTTCTCAGTCCTCTGGTTAAAAACAGGGAAAAGCCAGAGTTAACTTTATCATCAGCATTTGGATGTCTGACAGTATTTGAAGACAAATTACAAAAACATCCAGCAAGGAAAACATAGTTATGGCTAGGCTCTGCTCTCCTCAGTTCCCAAAGCATATTTCAAATCCCACTAACATTTGCAACAGATTTGCAGCCCCTCTCTTAGGGAAGATTTATTGAGGGGACAATGACACACTAACGTTGGGGGTCTGGGTACAAGGATTCAGCAAGGTGGAGTCTAACAGGAGACAGACAGAACTCAGGTCAGCCTTCAAATGCTCTTGTTGAAAAGACCACAAATAAAAATCAAGTGCATGACAGAACAAGTGATTAATGACCCCAAGTAAAATATTTTTCTAAGTTACAAAATTGCTCTTCCAGTGTTTGAAAACAGAAAAACCTGTGGGAGAAGAGGTTACATTCCAACAGTTAAGAGCAAATTCGGAAAGAAGGTAAATTATTACTTTCTTATCTTGGTTACTGGAGCAAAGATGAAAACAACAACCAGTGCTTTGATAAAATCTGCTCTTTACAAAAGTGAGATAAATATTCTAGTGGCAGCTGGGTTAAAGATACAGACCCTGAGGGTTAGCTTCTGCCCTCAGTTGTAGGTCTGCAACTCATTTCACCTACTTCTGTAAGCAGCCAAATGCAGATTGTGACCTTCAGACTTGAACATACAAGTATAGTTACCACCTGTTTGCAAATAATTCCCCAGCTATGCATACAGCAGCAACCTATAGAAACCTCCAAATGTGCGTTTGTAAAAAAAGGAAAAGAAGGAAGGAAAAAGGGAGACAGGTACAGACATGATTCTGAGCTCTAATTTTCAGTGAAAAAGACCAAAAGGTCAACAAGCAAAACTAAAGATAAGTAAAATCCCTGAAGAGACCTTATACTCTTTCTAATGCTTCAACAGCACAGCTCACCTTGCAAAAAACTTCACATGAACATCTAAAGCATGATCAAGTCAAAAGAGCAGCACACCCTATCCTGACACACACAAGGTAAAAGTCCTGGCCCCATCTCAATCCATGCTGAAACTCTCATTAGAAGTTCAAGAGATACCAGCATTCAAAATTGGACTGCTACAGACCTTTCCTTTTCACATTTTTTACAAAAGAAGACATTTTGAAAACTATTGTGCTGATTTCTAGTGCTGCCTCCCAGTTTACTGAGAGAAGTTGGCTGAACTGGACTTTGGTAATGAGAGATGCAAACAGAAATAAAAGGAGAATCGAAAAAATTTCCTTCTTTACACAACTCTAAATCCCATGGCCAACCACTAATTACAAAAAAAAAACCAAACCAAATGAGTCCAAACAGATTCAAAATTATGGAACATGTTTGATGTGGAACAGGGCAAACAGCACTCAAGACTGAAGTAATATTTAGAAATTAAAGAGCCTTGAGCAGTTAGCAGGAGATAGGATGGGAGTGTTCTCCTATTGGATCTGTTTTATGGGATGTGCTGATGGATAACACGCTGCTTCCAAACTCCACTATCCCTTCTCCTGCGTTACAGAGCTCTTAAGATGTTGCCTGAAAATAAAAAGTGTCAGTGTAACATACAAACAGGATTTCATCTGTAGCCATGACAACACAGCCAAAAAGACTCTAACCCAATGAACACCTATCAATTCATTTAAGGAGGGTGTTTTTTCCTGGCTCATTAGTAAGAGAAGTTGGAAATCAATAAATGTTACGTTGGCTTTAGCAAGAGGAAACATTCAATGGCTCCTGTTGTAAAAGTGAGTGTAGTGCTCTTGACAGAAACCAGTTTTCAGTCATCTGAAGATACACGTGGCCATGGCCAATGCCCTCTTTTCTCCCCCACCCCAAGTCCCCCAACAAAGCAAGAAAAATTAGTTTCTTCTTCCACCCCACCCCAGATTTTCTCCCACAGCTTGACTACAGTAATCCTTGAACAGGCAGAAGGTTGGTGCATTCTCTTCAGTCGATGCCTCCAACTTCTTCATTCTTGGCTCAAGTTTTATTCATTAATATTAGTCATCAGTTATTAAGAAAAAGATAGTTTCTAAGTGTTTGTTGTTGTTTTTTAACTGAAGTTAATCGGATACCATAGTCTGGTTATATGTGCTGATCTGCAGCCGTCAGTTATTCCTTTTTCTTGAATTCCTGGTTGCCATAGCTGGAGCCTTTTTCTATTTCAGTTACTCCTATCAGTCTACGAACTCCAAAGGAAGCTTTAAAATATAACAGAGAAATGAGAGGCACATTAAAACCAGTCCAAGCATCCAGGAAGTTACATGTAAGCACATGAGCAGAACCCAATCCCCAGGTCAGCAGTGACCAACAGTGTGCTGTACGAGGCTGCACAGGGATCACAGGTCAAGTGACACTCAAAGAGAGGGACAATCCAGATTAAAAAATATAATTATTGCTTCTCTTGGTTAACAGGACACGTGGCATGAACACTGAAGCATATCCCCTCCCTCTACTTCCCTTCTTTTATTGTTAGGGTTTTTTTGTTGGGAATGGGGGGGAAAGGGAAGATTTGGTGGTATTTATGTATTTTTTGTTTGTGGTGGTGGTTTTGTTTGGTTTTTTTTTTAAATTCACAGACAAGTTGTCCAGTGAAATATTTTTTCCTTCAGGCACCATAATAATGGGCTACACGACTCATCTACTACCACTACAGTTTTTGCTTAAGATATGAAGGCAAATTTGGCCAGATTAAAGCTTTTGAAACAATAAAAATGCTGTACAACAGAAAGACTAATGAGTGAGCTCCAAATATTTTTCCTGCAAGCTTCATTCTCATTAATTAGTACACAGAACTTATTGGAGGTAAAGGATCCTGTTATGTGTCACACTGGGCTAAGCATCTTCTCTGCTTTTATTACCTGCTCCTACAAGTCCCAGGAAGGCAAGGATAAGGAGAGGTGATCCACTTGCAAAAACTCCAAAGCCAAATGTGAAGAGAGGAGAGAGGAGAACTGTGGCCCAAAAAAGAAAGTTTAGGAGAGTCCATGGTCTCCTAGGAGGTTTAAACTGCTTCCCAGGAAATACACCTTCCTGATTATACATCTCTTGCAAAGCATCCTGGGGGAAAGAGAAAAGAAAATGAGTTCACAATGCTTGCATCAAGCAGCCCAAGATTAGTCAGCTCCAGGACAACATCCAGGACAGTGTCTGTGCTACAAACTCATCCAGAGTGCACAGCATCCAAGTCCACCTGCTGTCACTCATTTGGGCATTTCTGTTGACCATCCAAGTGACCTTTAAGCCTTTTGAAGGCAATTTTGGCACCATCAAAAACTGAAACCTTATCATCCTCTGCACTACCAAATACCTTCATCTTGCCTGTAAATTGCTTAAGGATTTAGGGCAGCTTCAGGCCAGAGACCAGTTCAGACACTACCAACCCTCTTAGCTGGGTGCTTTTCCTTCCTGTTTTCACTCCCAGAAAGGTCAGCATGATTCAGCAAAGCAGAAAAATTCTGTATGGAGAGCCAGGAGGGGAGGGCAAGGAATGAGCTGAGAGCAGAGACAGCACCACACAGGCCCAGTCCCAGCCCTGCAACAGAGCCACTGCAGCCCAAGCTGAGCCTGCAGAGGTGCAGTCCTGGAACACATCACTCAAAGGAACAAGGTGCCCACCACCTTCCCTCACTCTGTAAGATTGCTCTTTAAGGTTTCCAAGCCATTACCAAGGATGGCTCAAGTCCAGCTATTTCTTGTTTTTATTTCTTTCTTTTTTTTTTTTTAAATTTCCCTTACAAAGGACTGAGAAGTGCAAGGCATTCCTTGCCAAAACCAGCCTTTGGGAGGACACATCCTCTGTGCAGGAAGAGGATTCCAGTTACAAAGTCATTGCAATAAATGGAATGAGAGGATTCCAGTTACAAAGTATTGCTAACACTAAGATCAATATGTGCAATACCCATGTCCATAAGGAGTTCCTCCCTGTCAACACCTCACAACAAAGGTGAACAGAGGCACAGCCAACATCAGGAAGGATGAGAGGAAATGGTGCCACATTGCACCAGGGGAGGGTTACATTGGACATTAGGAAAAAAAAAAAAACTTTCATGGAAAGGGTTGTAAAGCAGTAAGACTGTCCAGGGAACTGGTGGAGTCATCATCCCTGGAAGTGTTCAAAAACACCCTATGGATTTTATGGATTTGTCCCTTGATGACATGGTTTAGTGGTGAACATGGTGTTGGGTTGACAGTTGGACTCTGTTCTTAGAAGCCTTTCTCAACTTCAAAGACTCTTTGGTTCTGTAGACCTGCTAAGGGGAGGTGGGTGGGGGGAAAAGATGATGAGCTACTGCTCTTTGTAAGATAACCTCTCTCCTTAACTGAATGAGAGTTCAGATATTCAAACAAATTAGGTTGAAATAAATATAATTCAGAACAATTTGCTGCCTACCTAGAGACTGAGCATAGGCCTGGCAATGCTGCAGCACAGGTCATCATAGCTGGGGAAAGCCCAGGATATTTAAACTTTCTGTCCTCTGCTGTCTTCCCACAAAGATCAGCAATACAGAAATCAAGATGCACTTTTCAAGTTCAATAATCCACCACTTAGGGCTGGACAACAATTACAGCTCTCCCCTACTCCCCACAGAAGTGTTAAATCTGGTTGAGAAGTGTTAAAGTGGTTGACAAAAATGGATTTTTCTAACCATCTAAGGTTAGAAAAAGAAATGACGCAAGGAAAAGCTCTGAGCCATCTGAAGGCATGCTGGGCATGTTTTATCAGTCCCTGGCAGGAGCTCCCAGGGATTGTCTGTCCCATGTCACACACCACTGCAGAAGTATTAGCAAGAGGCAGAAGGAAAGTGACAGTGCAGGAAAAATGAAAGCAAAGAACAATTGCAGCTGAAAGCTGGGACCTGCTGTCCCCGACAGACAGTTATCCCTCTTCTCAAGTGCCTAAAAACACCCACAGGGAAAATGGAGCCTTTAGAAATGCATGACAGAGATCCAAGTGCTGAAAAATGAAAAAGACACTGGATTGCTGTTAGTCTTCCACAGCTCAGGCATATCTCTGAATTCTATTGTGCTTCCTGGCAATTTGAGACCTCACTACCCAGCCCTCTGCTGCCAAGGGCCTCCTTGGTCCTGCTCCTTCCAGCACTTTGAGGGATGGCTGCCTAGTTATGCATGATATCCTCTCCATCCAGTGCAGGAGTGTGTATTACTCACTGCCTTAATACACTCCCCTGTGCAAGTTCCAAAAGGCAGAAAAGAATGTAAAGCTATTTACCTTTTCCTGGTAAAGCTTATGAAGCCAGTTTGCAGCTTCCTTTTCATCTTGAGGGATCTCTTCCAGAGGAAATCTCCTAGTTTAGTAGAAAGATTAAAAAATGGAAAGAAGGAAAAAAAAAAGAATTAAGGGAAAATCCAGATATTTGGTTTTATGCCTCTCCTAGGGAAGATCTTCCATTCACTAAAGGGCAGAAATCTTTGCCAATAGTGTCACTGATGGCAGAGGTCTTAAACACAGAGAACTGGGACTTAAAATCTGAGGTTTTAAGTTGGGAATTGGGTGCTATTTTAGACAAAAGAAACTGTACAAGCTCCTGTCAGTGTCAGCACATCAGTGAAATCATAATTTCCCATTCAAACACTGTTCCTCCTTCACCAGATCCACCCCTGGCTGATTTCCAGTGAGCTCAGACTGAGGCACTCAGAGCTGGGAAAAGAAAAGCAAGTGGAAAACCCAAGGGTAATTGCTGGTTACATTTTGGTAGTGAAAACCAAATTTTGGAAGCAATGGGAGGGCAACTAAACATTCACTTTATGCCATCTCTGAGGCAAACATCTGCAGTGACTGCACTTGTCCCTCTTTGCCTCTGCAGCCCCACAGACTGAGGCACACAGTTCTGGGGGTGTGTGACAATTGTGCCCAGTGCCAGCCCTGACCTGACCTCACTGAGAACAGGTGCCTTGCCAGAGCCTCTCTGCAGTGCTGAAGAGCCAACCATTCCCCTGCATTCTTCTGTTTTCTAGACCCCTCCAAGCCAAGCCCCTCTATGATTCTGTGAATTTGTTCCAAGACATTTCTAATGATTTCTGCATCTCATAAGCCAAATGAACACCAGATCTGGCAGATTTACTCACATGAGCCCTAACAAGAGAAACTGCTCAATTCATATCAAAATGCTCAATAAAAGCTCAGTGAAAAGTCATTTGCTGAAAGCTTTCTGGTGAAGCTGCCGTGGTGTTGCTGTCACCACTAGAGGGGACTCACAGCAATCACATTTGGTGATTTCCTGATTATTTCCTCTGGAGGCTGTCGGGATAAAGACTGGATCCAGTGCAGAGCTAAGCTGCTTACCTGTGCTCAGGTAACTACGTCTGCACATACCAAGAACAGGAGCTTATGTGCTTCCCTTCTCTGAGCTACACTAAGTCTGTTGGCACAACAAGGATATGCTCCATTTTCAGCAAAACATCTGTAAAATCAGTCTCCTTACTCTCACAGCTTCTTCCCCAAAACAGAGAAAAAGTGTAGAAAAGCAGCTTGAGAATATTCATTCCATCCACAAAGATATTTTTAATCGAATTATCTAAACACAGCCATTTGTAGGGTACAATTAGTGATTTTACCTGGCAACAGACTTTTACAAAGCCAAACCTCTTCTAACTCTATTGAAAACTATATTTCTCTTCTTTCTTCCCATTACCCCTCCAAGAAATGAAAGAAAATTGCACCTCCATTAGCAAAAAAGGACATTTAAGTGAAGGCTGCCACTATTCAGTGTACAATTGATAATTATACAGATGTACATCCATGCATGGGCACCTCAGATCCTGCCAGATATCCTACATGCACTTGCCATCAGTGTGGAATTACAGGTGGAGCTGCCTGACCAGCTGTTTTGCTGGCTGGCAAATTGTCTGCTCACTTTCCTCATCAGGAATATGTTTGGCAAGTGTAAATAGTGAAAATGAAACCCCTTGCAAATGAGCAACTCCACCTCTCCATGGACAGCTTCACAGTCATCTTTTCAGCTGAGAGACTAAAATGTTGTGGATGTTGCAGCAACACACAGACCCAAGGCAAGAGGGGAAAGGTGTGGGGGGAAGGGAAAATGGCTCTTTTTTTTTTTTTTTAACTTTTAAAAACCAAGCATCAGCCTCATCACCAGAATACAGCAATATCTTCCAAAAGGTGGATGAATCCTACAGAGAAGCAGAAGAAAACTGACTAAAGAACTGTGGAAAGAATAACCAGGTCATGTCTCAGGTACAAACATAAAAGGGAAAAGAAGAAATTCAACAGGATTGGTCGTTTTTATGATCACAAGGAAGCCCTTGAAGCAGAAGGCAGCAAGGAGAAAGCAAGAAAGAGAAGAGGTGTGTGTGCATGCAAATGTGTATGTGCTGCATGGGGTTAGGTGTTAACAGCTACTCTTTGAGGAATGTGACCAATGTCCCACCTCATTCACAGGATGTCTGAATTTCAGCATTTTTAAATTTTTAATCTGCAGATCAAACCATGTGAGTGAGGGAGAGAAACTGGCATGTAAAGGAGCTTTAGACTATTTACTACAAGGGACCACTGAAGCTGAAGGACAAGGAGAAGTGGACTACAGGAAAGGAAATTACCCTGTAAAATCTGAATAAACTTCAACATGCTAAACTATGCATCTTAGGGCTCACCTCCATCAGTAAATGCTCACCTTACACACATATCTGCTTCATATTTCTTTCCATAAAGAATTCCTAATAAAGACGGGTTCTTGTTTCCTCTGAAATTTAGTGTTACATCATACACTGCTGAAACTGTTAGGAAAAAAAAATAAAACAGGGCTGTTACAGCAGCAATTCTAGCAAGCTCCTTCTGGCATCCTTGCTTGAGACAGCAAGAGAGCCTTGTGCAAGCCTTGCATTAATGATGTGCCAGAGTCCTCCACTATTCTGTGTTTACACCCCACATTTATCTGCACCAGCCCCCTGACACTCCCAGCACTGTAAAACACCAGATGACTTGATGAACTAAGCAACATAAAAAGGTTTTCAGTATTTCTTAAGACTGGTGTCTGCCAGTTCTGTGGCAATTTACAAGTTACCAGCTGACATGCTGGATCCTCATGACTGCCAGCTCACTAATTGTAACGAACAACCCAGCAGAATATGCTGGTGCTAAACAACACATTACAAGTGCTGCAAAGCTTGGCAGTACCTGTTCCCCTGAGACACTGGACAGCAGTGGTGAAACCTTTGGTTCTGGGCAACAGGTGGTATTTCAGTTTAGGCAACCCCTTAGATTCAGCTACTTCCATACTGATGCGGTGCTTGGTCTCTGTGAAACGAGTTCCTTCACAGTATAGCAGAAACTGTGCAAGACAAAAGCAAAAGAAACCCAGGGATATCTTGAGATTTCAAAAGAAATCCAGCAGTATACTGAAAATTTGTCCAAGATAAACAGACATGTGCACACCCTTCAGTTGTGTCAGCTCTTCACCAAGTATGAGGCATAAGCACCAACTCTCAGCTCATTTACCATTACCTTTACATTTAACAACACTTGTACCAAATTTAAGGTGACAAAAAGACAGCCCTAGTTGTGGCATTTAGAATGCACAGAAATTAGGAAATTGATCCACTCAAGTCAATTTTAATCATGATTTCAATTACCAAGCAGGAAGTCTTGATTTAAATAATCAATGCTAACTACATTTTGCACTTATATTTTCTAGTTGTTTTCCCTAGAGACTCGTCCTTGGTTCTCAGTTGTAGAATCATTAAATTGTATAGATTTGAAGCTCAAGTTCAGTCTTGAGATTTTCTAATTGGTAGGGTTTATTCTGTATTTTCTTTTCTATCCCTTACTTATCAGAAAGATATAGTCAATATAATTCATATCTATATATTCAAGCAATTAAGTAGCTTAAAATACATTCTCCAGATTCTTACTTTTTTCTGTCTTTGTAATGGTAGAAAATTACAATGCATTCACAATGTTCTAGTTAGGGCTTAATGTTTCACTATTAATTTTAACAAGCTGTACTGGATAATACTGAAAACTCACTTAAAATGCATAAAAAGCCTCTTAATGTTTTATAAGCCAAATAATTGTACATTACATGTGCTGCTATAAAAGCAAAATTGAGAATTTATCAAAACCTTTGCATTCAAAGCTATAAGAAGGTTAATGGGTTGATTACACCACTGTGATGCTGCAGTGAAGTTTAACAGCATTGCACACAATGAAACAGAGATGTTTTACCCTTGATTTTAAATAATGTCAAAATAAAAAGGAAAAAATGTAACTGCAGAAGCAGATATAAGCTTGCCATATGTTCTCACAGAGACTTTTTGGGAAACCTGCAATTTCACAGATCAATGAACACACTAACAGGAACTTTCCATCAAAATCCATGGCCTGTGCAAATTCACTCACTTCTCCAAACAAGATTTTTTTTGTTGATGTGTCTTTTCAGTCTACCTGAGAAAATGTTATGCAGATGTAGCAATCAAATGTAAGGGTTTTTTTTAATAGGCACAAAATAAGTTTGGACAAAATCATTAGTATCACACAAGCCTGATTTATAAATGATTCTCAAACTTCTGAACTGTTTCCCAAATGGTTTCCCTTACCAACAGACAAAAAAGCACTACCAGCATATCCCAAAAGACCTCCTGAAACAGAGCATGACAGCTTTTCCATGACAGCTCTTGGGAGTGAGCACACCTTTTCCTGACACACAAAGCCACAGGCACCAGTCTGTCACTGATTCACTTCCAGCAGCCAACACCAGATGAGAGACTCAACACTTACCCACATATATTCAGGATAATCAGACAAACGTTTCAATCCCTCAATGACTGTATCTCTGTCCTCTTCCCATTTCCTTTTGCAGAAAACAATCTCAAGGAAGTACCACGTCCAGCCGATTAGGGGCACATAGAGCAGCTCTCTCTTAGCAAGAACTTTGGAACTCTTGGAGAGAAAACAAAAGTGACAATCCAAAAATGTCATTTGCTCATTTGTGCAACGAGGTCAAACACATTAAAGCTAAGATGATGGAGTTGGATCTGGGAACTTAAATGCAAAGAAACTGTTTATAGGTGGGTTTTAAGCAGTGTCGGGATCATTAGCTGGTCAGAGTGACCCCGAGAAAAGTTCCAAAGTCTCTTTTCCCAGCCTGGCACTTGAAGAAGGAGTCAGAGCTCTTCATTTCTTGGTCTCAAGGTTGTTTATTGTATCTTATCTATAAAAAATTTTCTCCTGTCCTGCTGAGATCCGTCCAGCAGGACAGTTCCAGGCACTCTGCCTGCCCCCAGGGCAGTGTTATGTCTCTATACTAAAAACGTGTACAATGTTTACAATTGCTTTCCAATGCCTATCACCTATGTTAGACAGTGAGCTTCTACTCTAAACCAGTCCCAAAGTGCCAACATCACAGCAGAAGATGGAGGCCAAGAAGAAGAAGGAGAAAGGCTGGACATGCCCAGTTCCCTCCATCTTGCCCCCTGAACCCCCATACCAGAAACCCCAAAATCTACTTTTCCACCCCGTGATAACTTCACTATTATTCTACCTAAACTGTTGTGGCTTGCTGATCTTCATCTAAGGTTGGTCATTTGCTCCATGGGTCATAATCAAACCCACAGGTGTTTTGGGCTCTGTGCCAGGGTCCCTGAGCCCCCTGGCAGGGTCTTGGCTGCTCAGGACAGCCAGAGGGATGTGCTGGGTCCTGACAAAGCAGACCTGCCACCCTGCAGAGGAAGGGGAAGCTCATGGTGCACATACCCCCAGCACTCCAAAGCGCTCCGTCATCGTCCAGCCGCACAGGAAGTCGATCTCAAAGTTGTGGTTCAGGATGATGATGACGTGTTCCTTCCCAAAGGTTTTCACCGTGGCCTCGTCTGAGAACAGGGTGCACTCTGTGCCTGACCACCATTCCAGCAGCATTACCAACTCTAGCAAACACGATGGAGGTGGAGAGAGGAGTTAGGGGTACCCCTTACAGAAAGCATTTAGAGTTTCCTCCTCAGTCCCATTCACTGCCCAGCCTCTCCTGCCTCCCAACACCATCACTTCACCAAACTCATCCAGCAGAGCTGAAACAGAAGCTTGGAAGGGTACAGACCACACCATATTACCATCCCTAAGCAGTATTTAAGGCACCAGACATATGCATTATGGATAATTCAGCAAGTTTTTAACAGTGACAAGTTTGGGCATTGCATTTCAAATGCAAAATTTGATGACCACTGAAAAAAAAAGCCCCAAGACTTTTATGCCTGAAAACAGACAGTGGAGCCGTTGATTGCTCCACTAAATGAGCACAGTTCCTCCCAGGTGGAATAGAAATTATGCATAGATGCAGCCTAATGTTTTTACTCCACATGAAACAAGCCTTATGGAGGTAAACAGACCAATAAAGGTCTTTTAAAGGGATGCAGTGACATAGATCTTCTGTGATAGATTTTAATATTAAAACACAGGGCTCTAATTGTTCTGCATTATGATCATCAACACAGAGTTAAAAACAGAAAATTGAGCTAATTTATCAAAATACCTGGGCAAATACAAGAATGGTAAATTTTGTCTTTCTTTTAGTGCAAAAGAATGAGCCCTTTTCCCTCCATTTACTCCAATTTTAAAGTATCACAGCAACTCTTATTCCACCCTGAACATTTGTTACCCTTTTTTATTTTCCACCTCCCCTTTTTCATCATAAAACCCCCTTCCACTTAAATTCAGCATGCACTGACTGTAGTTGCTATGGTTAGCTTATTTCCCTCATTTCAGTACATGGAGGCAGATGGAAGGCATTGCTTGCATCATGGGACAACTATAAAAAGTATGAGAATAGTTCATCCTCCCAGTAGGAAGATTTGCTTCCCTGCAAACTGTAGTCATTGGGTTTTTTTTCATTTCAATGAGATGTGGTTGAAATAAAAATGTGATTGCACAAATATAGCAGTTAAAAAGAGTCCAACCCCTCCCACATGACTACACCTGCAGGTTCCCCCTCTGTTCCCTCTATCAGGCTCTGCCAGGAGGTTTTTCAGCTTCCCATTGGGAGTTTCTGGTTTTGCCAAACAGGGCAGCACCTACCCAAACAAGGGTTTCTGATCAGTGGGATCAGACAAGGTCACCTATCCATACTGCTAAACAGGAGTTTGGGATCCATCTTGCACCACTCCAGAGAGAAGGCAAACACAGGATTTGGGTGAATAATGAGGAAAACCAGTCCTGGTCTGCTCAGGGTCCAGAGCTCACCTAGCACTGTATTTTTTCACTCATGACCACTCACTCACCCACGAGGTTATTCCCCTGTATCACTTTCAGCACTTGCTCATTTGGAGGGATGACAAAGTTATGCACCTTGCTGGCCAAGAGAGCTTAACCCCAGTCAACTGGAAATATGGCAGGGGAAAGACAGAATTGTCTTGTTCCTTCACACCAGGTACAGGTTTCTATCACTGCTTCCCAGCTTTGCATGCTTTCTGTTCACTCACCTTCCTTTCTCTGGTTATTCTGGCTCAGTAAAAGGGGAAAGAGGACAGCAAGAGTGTCCTCAGGTCACCTTCCAAGCAGGTGGCCAGGAGAATGGAGCAGTGGTACCAAACACATCGTGGTACTCTGAGCAATTTTCCCTTCCCATTGCTGACTGTGTACCAAGGAGGAACACCTCCAGTACCTGCTACATTTTCCTATAAAATTATAATCACCTGGGTGTGTTTCTTCTTCAAAATCAGGGGGAAAAAATCTGCAGAGGCCAGTGTGGATGTGACTTTCTGCAGAACCTTTTTCCCTAAAACAGTGAAGGATTTGCCAGAGTTCATACTGAGAGAGAAGGGCTGATGAGCCAAAGGATTAACACGAGGAAACAGATTGTCCTTTACAAGTGTGCTGACAAATGATGTAATTATAACCAGGAGTGGGCTCATTTCCTTTTTTCAGTGTGTGGGTTACAGCTCCTTTGCGTGGCACTGATCCTATCAATGCTACACAAGAAATCCTTCTGAATGAAGGAATGGCAGCACCTGCACTGCCCAGGACAGTTCCTGTAGGGAATAAGCAACATCTGGCATCAACCACCCCAGCAGCTGGGGGTCCCACAAACCAAAGCATTTACAGCCTCACAAGTCCCCTAAAAATAAAGCAAAGAAGGGGCACAGCATATCCCTCAGCTGGAAGGACCAACATTTGAGAGGTTATTTTTGCAACAGGACGAACCCAAACACGCTGCACTCTCCAAGGGTGTGATTCATCTGCAAGGAGCTGACGTGGGAGAGCTGCAAGTACAGACTACCTGTCATGAATTTATGGGTTTATGTAGGGGCCAGAGCCTGAGAGGCTTCCTTCCCCAAATGTCTGTCAGGAACATTGGATAGAGTCTCTCTCCCTCCCCTTTGGAAGCTGGCCTTTTTGTATTTGAGAGGAGAGGCAGTAAGAACAGAGCCTGGTTTTCAGTACAGAGCCTGTGTTCCACCTGTGTATCCCTCCCTGCACTGATCCTCTGCCAGCTGGGCAGAGCAGCTTCTCTGACAGACCCTCAGCCTAAAACCACAAACAGCTTGGAGAAAGTGAGCAAAATGTAGCATCCAGAGCAGAACACCAACCTACAGGTTCCTTCCCAAAAGGCTTCTCCATACTGAAATATATTTCATTATGGATGGCAACACTGGGGTTACTGCATTTACACAGCTTACCTAAATTGCTATAAATCACAATTGAAGAGCATATTCTGGCAGCTCTTCCTTTACAGGCCATCAGCTCTCTGCAATCCCACATAACATTTACATTGATTTTCATAGTTTAATTTCCCAAGATGTTAATTTATTACAGGCTACACACCAGGGGTTATCCTATGTACAAGCAATTATCTGCTCAGCTTCTCCAAGCCTCTTTGAACAATGGTGTGGGTTATTTCCAGTGTTTAGAGGTTGTAAGACAGCAGCATTTAAAGTGTGGGTTGTTTTATGCACAGTGCTAACTAAAGGACCAAGCATCTCATATCCTCAGAAAAGCTTAACTATTAATGCAGCAATCGTTTTCAGCATGAGATCAGATTCTAGATTATTAAAAGCACAAAGAAATTCTTACAAGCAAATTAAAACTAAAATTTCCTATATGTCCCCACTCTCATCCAACCAAAGTAATTTGGAAGTTTCTACTAAGCTCTTCTACTACAATACCTTTTTTCCTGACAATTTGCCTGCTAGTCTATTTAATTTCCTTTCTCCTGTGCTTCTCAGTAGGCAGGACAAAAAGCGCAGTAAAGGCAAGGACAAGCTTAAAAAGAGACTGAACCAGACACCTCAGAGAGTTTTTGTTGGTGATACTTCACATGGATGATTTACAAAATGTGGGTGCCTGTCAGTGGACTGCTGAACTGTAATTTCAGTGTTCATTCTGGTGACTCATTTACCCAAAGTGGGAGTTGGATGCTGAGCTGAGCACTAAGGTAAGTGGCCATGCATAAAGGGAAGGGATGGAGAATGGAAACCAATTAGATGATTCACTGCTGAAACAGGAGGTGACATTTGGGCTAAGGAGCCTTCTAAACACTCTAAACATTTTCAGAAATCTTCTGTGAGAAGAAGGCATCCACAGGGAGGAAGTTTTGCAAAGGTCTGACAGAGGAGAACAAAGAAGCTGCACTCAGTGCAGAGCTGACCCATGGGCAGAAGAAGAACCACTGAAAAAATGCTCACAAGAGGAGACCCTGGCCTCAGAGATGGGCACTGAAGGGTGCAAGTGGATTCTGAAGTTTGTCACACAGTTCAGCTGCAGACACATCTACATGAGGTATTTTAGGATAGACCTCTCCCTCTGCAGCCCCCACAATAAACCTGGGCTCTTACATGATCAATACTGCTCACATGCACCTGAGCCAGCTCACAATGGTCCCTTAGCACAGGTGCTGATACTGGATGAAGATGGCATTGGGACACAAGTAACAGCTCCTATCAGTCCAGCTTGGAGGTGCAGAGGAGCTTTACTTCCCACTTTTCTGAATGACAGAGTGACAACACACTTTAGACCCTTGACTTCTGTGTGAATTCCCAGTATTCCAGAAAAAAAAATAATTGCTGTGTCAAAAAAATTTGGACCTGCTCTGAAAGAATCTACATCTAACTTACAATTTCTCTCATCTCTATGTGCAAACAGATACATGTGCATGTGTGGCTGTAGCTCTCTTCACAGAGAGCAGAATTCACAACTTCCCCAGGATTTTTTCTGGGGAAGGCAGTGAGAAAGCTCAGAGAAGAAGAAAAACAATTCTTATTTCTACTTGCTGCATCTGTTGTTTGGCACACATGGAATGTGTTATGGAGATTGTTTACCCAAAAGGGATTTGTCAGTTGGACACTGGTGATGGCTGTTTTGGATTGATTGACCAATTAGGTCAAAGCTGTGTTGTGACTGCCTGTAAAGGGTCACGGGTTTTTCTTTAGTACAATTTTAGTTTAGTTAAGTATAGCATAATATAATATAATAAATACAGCATATTATATTATATTATATTATATTATATTATATTATATTATATTATATTATATTATATTATATTATATTATATTATATTATATCATATATCGCTAAATAAAGCATTTGTTCAGCCTTCTGAATCATGGAGTCATTGCACATTTGTGGTGTTTGTGAGGGTCCCCAGCATGAGATGAGAGATGAGAATTTGACTCCTTGTTCTCAGAAGGCTGATTTATTATTTTGTGATATTATTTTATATTAAAAGAATGCTATGCTAAAGCTATTCTAAAGAAAGAGAAAGGATACATCAGAAGGCTTAACAAGAATGAATAATAAAACTCGTGACTGACTCCTCAGAGTCTGACACAGCTGATGGTGATTGGTCATTAAGTAAAAACAATTCACATGTTTGGATAAACAATCTCCAGACCACATTCCAGAGCAGCAAAACATGGAGAAGCTGAAGCTTCCCAGGAGAAGAAATCCTGGGGAAGGGATTTTTCCAAAAATATCATGGTGACAGCACGTTATTCCCCGGCTGGGTGTCATCCTGTATTGATAGGCATATATGTATTTCCTTTGCTTAATGTCCTAGGGTGATGTTGTGATGCTTGTATCCCCATTCCTGTGTTCTGTTTATGCTGGATATTATGTTCTGTGCCTTCCAGACTGGCTCTGAGGAGTGAAAGTTTTGTTTTGGTTTTGCTATCAGCCGCTCCCCCACGGCTGGTGGGACACACAGACAGGGCAGTACATGGTGCTGCTTTTGCTTTTTGCTTGGCTCTTGCTTCTGCTTTGCTCCTGCTTTGCTCTTGCTTTTTGCTTCTGCTCATTAGTTAGTTACCTAAGCAGTCCAAATTTTTCCTGGACTGTTTCTCCTTTCCCTTTTTTGGACCTATGTGAACCTGCTCTGGACTGGGACCTGGGAACACCGAGGGTTTGCACCCTGTGGCTGCAGCAGCACTGGAGGGACTGATAACAGAGCAACCACCCCCAAGAGAGACTTTCTGAATTTGTCATCTTTTTCAGAGTGCTGAAAGAGTGGTGTCATCCTGTATTGTTCATTTTGTGTGCTGGGGGTGCTGTGCCTGTTAAATAAACAGGTTCTTTCCACTCCTCTCTGAGGAATCCTTCCCAAACCGGTTGGGGGCAGGAGCCATGTGGGTTTGCTTTCTGGAGGGGCCCCCTTTTGGAGGTTTTCTCCCAAATTTGCCCTAAACCAGGCCAGTTAACAAAAGCAAAACCAAGCAAAGCCCCTCCCCAGCCCCACCCATCCCATCCCAGCCCATCCCAGCACACTCACGGCTCCACAGGGAATAGGCAAGGCGACAGTTTACTCGGCGGTAGAGCTGCTTGTTGATGGGCCAGAGGAGCAGCGTGCATAGTTGGATGAAGTTAATGATCAGTCCACTGACAACAAAGACAAACCCAATGAGGAGGTGAACTATGAACTGGGTCTTCAGGAAGGCAATGAAGCCCATGATAACCACTCAGAAGCGTGTGCAAGGGCCGTCACTCAGAATAACTGTCCTGAAACAGGAAAAAAACAAAACAACAAGAGTCAAATGGAGTGGATTTGCAAGCTCTGACAAAGCAAAAGCCCTGAAACAGTCCAGGCTCATTCTTCAAGAGGAACCCAACCCAATAAACACTGTGCTCTCCAAGCCTGCCTCATGCAGGTCTTCACACAATAAACAGGTGATGGTGCAAATCCCTGCCCAAAATAGGACGGAATCATTATTTACAATTTACAGCCCACCAGGAAGATTATTGGTTGCTGAAGAGACTAATCTCACACCTCTATTCAAACAAATACCATATAATTAGGAGTTAATGCTGGGAGGAACACAGAGCCCTGCACTCACAGTGTGCAAACAGGGGCTTTATCTTTAGGGATGCTGTCCTGAACTGTAAGAGGAGCCTCACCCTGCAAAGAGCAGGGCTGGTCACACACACCATCATTCTGGCCAACACTAAGGCATGGAAATGGAAATCAGGTATTTCCACATTCAAAACCCATGCTGGAGAAGGTTTAATAACTTCTCACCTTGTCAAGCCACAGTTCTGTGATCAAATATACCAGTTAGTGTGGGGGGAAAGTGTAAAATGATAAAAAATCCTTAGGCTATGTAGCAGTACAAACTTGATCTGGAATGGGCATTGGTGTAGAATCTTGATTCCACCAAATTAGCCCTTAACTCTGAGCCTGTGCCATATTTATACCAGGTGCAGAAAGACTGGCAAGGGCTGAGCCAGCAGAATGCCACAGGAGCTCAGACAAACCTGATCCACTACAAATCCTGCCAGCACAAAGTTAACCCAGCAAACTGTATTTACCAAGCCACCAAACTGAGCTTATTGCAAACCCCACATTATCCAGCACTGGCCTGTTTGACCTGTTGGGTACAGGAAGCCCTGCAAGGCCAGCCAGGCTGTCAAACCACAGCCTCAAGGTCTCACCCAAAAAATAAAAGCTTGGCCCTGATTTTCTGCCACAGCTTGCTGATGGTTTTCATGTTCAGCTTTTGCAAGTGTGGCAAATGACCAGATCAAGCAGTAGATGGTAACAAATACTTTTGACAAACCAGGCATCCCAAGGTGATGTGGACCCGCTGTCTGAAAATAAAGTCCCTGCCAGCTGTGAGAAATCAAATAATTTTCACTCACCACCTGCTTACGGTGTGCTGCTATTTATAAAACTCCACAGCAATTTAATTGTGAAAGCTTGTTTTCTATCCTCTCCCCTGCCAATCAGGTACAGCTTTTCAAGGCACAGAGTGTCTAGTTTTTGCACAATTAACATCCATTTGCATCATTAGTAACCTACCCACTTCAGAGGCACATAAGAGAGGCAAAAAAAAAGCCTGGTTGAACACAGCCAGTATTGTGCCTACCACAGAAAACAAAGCAAAGCAAGATGAATAGTATTGGAGCTCATGATAAATAATCTAAATTCTCCCAGTGTTTTCCTGTAAGGATGAAAGAAACATTTCTTCCACTAATAAATTACTTTAAGAACAGCTGTTGGGAAGCAGACACTTCTGTTTGAAAAGGAACAAGAGGAGCCCTCCTTCCTCTTCCCTCCCCAAAAGGCTGCAGTTGTCTCACACAGCCAAAACACCACAGCAGTGTTCACACATTGCCATGTGGGAGGCAGCTGTGGCATCCAGTGACTCCCTAGCACTGGGCTTGTTTGTCTTTTCCACTGGCACGCTCTAACAAACACTGCCAAACATTAAACACCAAGTTCTTCACTTCCAAGAGTCATTCTCTTCATCTGGTGTATCTCAAAAGCCAGTTCAAGCAAGCAAGAAAAGAACAATTCCCTCCACCCCTGCAAGCTGTTTCTTGAGTTCTTGCTTGCCCTCTGCAGAGCCATGTGCAAGCAGCTTTGCTGATGACTGTGTCCAGTGTCAAACCATTCAAAGGCTGGACTTGAGCATCCTGGAAGCTCTTCCAATATGATTTTATCTGTGACAGTCATTAGAGCAGCACTTACAGCCTTTTCCCACACAGCCTGGCCCCTCTCAGACAGGGGCACAAAGCAGACACAAATGGCACAAGGAGAAACAGGAATGTCAGGTATTATCTATCCTCAAATCAAATGGTTTGGCTCCACTTCCACAGCCTCTTGGCTTTGAGCAGAGTCTGTGGCTGTGTTTGTCTCTAGCATTAAGGACATTGCTGTTTTACAGACCCTAAAGGACACATCCCTCCTTACATTGCACCAGGATGATTTCTCCAGCTTTGTTGGACATGAAAAACAGGATTTATCACTCTTGCACCAGCATCCTGCCCCACATGCTGGCCACCATAGAATCATTAAGGTTGGAAAAGGCCTCCAAGATCATTGAGTCCCATATTGGACCAACCATTACCTCATCAACTAAACCATAGCCCTAAATCTCACATCCAGTCACTTCTTGAGCACCTCCAGGAATGGCAACTCCACCATTCCCCAGGCAGGTTCAATGCTTAATAACACCTTCCATGAAGAAATTCCTCCTGATGTCCAATCTGAGCCTTCCTGGCACAGCCTGAGATCACCTCCTCTGGTCCTGCTGTTGTTGTCTGATCCTTCCAGTTTCGCTGCTGGATACAGAAACCTGCCAGGCTCTGTTTTGACAATCCCTCACTTAACTATATTTGACTTTTAAGATCATTAGAAGTTAACCTTAATCTAGGAATTATTTTGTTTTCTGCATCCCTGCCCATGTAGGACAGCCAGGCAATTTAGGGACAAGACAACAGGCTAAAGGTGGTCAGCAGCTGTTTTGTTGTATCCCAGGGTCAGGGGAGGATGGGGAAATCAGAATTTGCTGAAACAAGGAAAAGCAGCACTTCTGCATTTGGCATATGTATTAAGATCAGCTTAGTGAAGTATCTAGGAAGTAAACAGCTGCCTCAGCCTAAGACAGCAAAGTCTCAGCACTATATAATTTTTTTAACCTATCCATATCATCTGCATTTTTAAAGACCTGCTGGTAAAATCTTATTTTTGTCCTCGTTTTCCTTAAACACTGTCACTTCCCAGCATTGACCTTTCACCACAAAACCTTCATTTCCTCCTCTACAGCCACACTGAGAACTGTGGGGAACTTTAGTACTCTCCCTGCTTTCATAGGATCAGAAAATGGTTTGGGTGGAAGAAGCATTAAATATCACCAAATTCCAACCCCCACACCATGGGCAGGGACACCTCCCACTAGACCAGGTTGCCCAGAGCCCAATCCAGCCTGGCCTTGATCTATCTGCTCTGATGAAAAAGTTCTTAAATGCTTTGCAACCTTCAGGGCTGTCTCCCTTATTTCTGTGCCTCTCAAGAAAAGGGCAAGGAGAAAAATGTCTTGGTGTGGTGAGCTGACCCTGGCTGGAGGACTGGTGCCCACCAAGGCCGCTCTATCACTGCCCTCCTCACCTGGACAGGGAAAACACAACCAAAGGCTTGTGAAGGTGAAGGAAAGGACAGGGAGAGATCACTCACCAACCATTGTCATGGGCAGAACAGACTCACTGTGGGGAAATCAGCTCAATTTATTACCAATCAAAGCACAGTGTGGTAATGAGGAATAAAACCAGATCTTAAACCACTTTCTCCGAACCCCTCCCTTTTTTGTTGAGCTCAGCTTCCTGATTTTCTGTATTTCCTCTCAGCCAGCAGTGCATGGGGACAGGGAATGGGGCTGTGGACAGTCCATTACTCCTCTCTGCTCCTTCTTCCTCAGAGAGAGAACTTCTCACACGCCTCCCCTGTTCCAGAGGGGAGTCCCTCCCACAGGAGACAGCCCTCCAGGGACTTCTCCAATATGAGCTCTTCACCAGCTGCTCCAGCCTGGTTCCTTTCCATGGGGTGAAATCCTTCAGGAACAGGCTGCTCCAGAGTGGGTCCCTTGCAGGCCCACAAGTCCTGCCAGCAAACCTGCTCCAGCCTGGGCTTCCCACAGGGTCACAGCCTTCTTCAGGCTCCTATGTGGGCTCCTCCAGGGGCTGCAGCTGGATCTCTGCATTCCCATGGATGTCCATGGGCTGCAGGGGCACGGCTGCCTCGACAGGGTCTGCAGGGGAATCTCCACCCCAGTGCCAGGAGCACCTCCTGCTCCTCCTTCTGCACTGACCTTGGAACCTCCTGGGCTTCTCCCACATATTCACACTCCTCTCTCTGGCCACAGTTTCTGCTGTGGAGTTCTCTCCCACCTTCCTTCCTCAGTGCACTACCCCTGAGGTGGTACCACCATCTCTGGTGGGCTCAGCCTTGGCCACTGGCTCTGTCCTGGACTCGAGGACAGAGTTGTCCTTGAAGCCCCACGTTCACATGGATTCTCTGGTTTCCAAAAGATACAACATGCCTCTCAATACAAGTCAGAATATTATTCTTCTCCTTTACCCAGCTTTCTACATTCATGGAAGTCCTAATGATTAAACTCCCTGGAGACTTCCACCTCAGCCAAATGTCACTGGAATTTGCCAAGTTCAAAGCCATTAGAAGGGAGAATGGCAGAGAAGTGTGACTGCATTCATTAAGAGATCAGTCAAATGCACAACATGCACATTACAGCATTTCATGACACATAGCTATTTATGAACTCAAAATTAAAAATTAAGCCACTAATCATTCTGTAAGACAATATATTCAGTTTGAACTCCAGATTTTAATTAATTTCTTGCTGTTATGCATGTGCAATCCCTCTGAAGTTCATGATGTTTGCATGAAATTAGAAACTGGTCCACTGATCCTAATATTCCAACGCAGTGAGAATTAATGTGCTTGTCAACAACAAAAACTGTGGCAGGCAGTATTTACATCTCCAGACCTTTGCCTGCAGTTTTTCTGAACATGCTTTTGCCATCTCTGTTGTGCCATATTTACCTCCACCCATGAAACCAATTACAGATATCTTTTGCCCTGAATACCTTGCCCCCACCCTGAAATCTGGTATTTTACCTACTTTTGCTATTTGAGAAATGAGCGAAACTTTTAGATCACTGAATTTCACCTTTTACCACCACATTTTAAAGTCCTGTACTTTTCA